GGAATAAGCGCATAAAATATGGTCCTAGGAATAGGCCCTCTGACCCATAATGCAAATGAGTTGGTAGATATTCTCTAGGATTGTAATCACACATAGGAATATGATTGTAGGTTACCCTAGCCTCTGCAGCAACCAAAAGCGGTAGTGAAAGAGTAGAACTCAAATCCCAAGAAAAGTCAGGAATTGTGCATGGTGCATTTTCCCATATAGTGTGTTTTCCATGTTTTGCATCAAAACTAATGTAGGAGACAAGGAGGTTGAGTTTCATTAAATTGCTTGATAGTTAAAACCTCAAACAACAACATTTCACCATTATTTTCTTCCTAAATCACAATTGCATATTTGAACTATTTCACTGCATTACTTGATTTTGAAAAGCAACAAGTCCCTGAGGATTCGACCTTGGATTACTTCCGAGTATTACTTATGATCGTGTGCGCTTGCACGAGTCTCTAATCTTTTTAAAGGTAGAGAAAATCCCAATAGGGAGATAGTAAAACGAGGGGATGTGATCATCACAAAGATCGCTTCGGAGCACAACATTGCTGATCCTTTTACGAAGGCATTCATGGCTAAAGTGTTTGAGGGCCATCTAAACAGTCTAGGTCTACGAGCGTTGTACAATTAGTCTAGGGCAAGTGGGAGAAATTTAATGGGTATAGTGTATGTCCTAGTTTATTGTATTTGTCCCTTTGCTTTATGATTTTGTACACCTCACTAGAGTTTAGTTCAAGTGGGACATTGTTGGGTGTGTTGCCCTAAACTCGTAGTTTGTAATTATATAAAAACAAATTTATATTCAATAAAGTTATGTTTTCTTATTCAATCAAATTGTTGTTGAATTTACAACATTGGATTGTCCAAATCCATAAACTAAACATCCAAGATTATTATCATGTAACCGGAACAGTATATATACTTGGTATATATTTGATATATCCTTGATATACATGTGGATAATGTCCCGGAAATAACCTAAAGGGTCTATAGTATATGGATAAGGTTGGGTACCTTATCCTGGCAACACTACGGATACGACCCACTTTGTAAACGCTACAAACGACCCGATCCTGGTCGTTTTTGTGGAGACATGTAGTGGAGGTATCCTATACAATGACTTTGTATAAGACTGGACCGTGAAATAACCAATCTTTAAATATAATGCCACTGACTAATAGATTGCTATTTCATAGGATGATCAGATAACTCATTCTCAATCTTGAGTGAGTTATGGACTCCTGCCCGTAATGGCTCGTCCTTTGATCTTTATGGGTGAGAGTGGCCCGAGTCGCTAACTCAACATTCCTAACATTTTGGGGACGAGATCGAGTGGGGAGCTGGGAATATAACTACACAAGACGAAATTCACTCCTTCCCAACTTTAGGGGAGTAGATGGGTGTTTCCTTAAGTGCTGACTCCGGGACTTGAATAAGGGACCTCATTCTTTCACTGGCCTGAGAAGGACTTCGGGTTATTGGTCAGATCATAACTGGATTTTTCATTAGAAGAGCAGTGGTATTTAAGGAGTAAGATGTAACTTAGAGGTAAAACAACAATTTGACCCAGCTAGAGTTACGAGCACTCATGAAAGATTGACTTGTCGTTAATGGTCGTACATCCATGGACACGAAAATATTATGTAGTGAGAAGAGTGCAACTGTAGGTCTTTAGTGGAGTGATTTGCAGTTAACGAATGTTGACTAACTCGGTTAATGAGTTAGACCAATTAATCTCGTATCGTTGGAGCGTCTAATATATAGATCCATTAGGTCCCCTTGCTAGCTCACAACGGGTAAAACGATGATCAAGAATTATGAAATAATTTGAAATGTTCAAATTATATAAGGGAATGTATATAATGTATATTGATACATTATATATATAAATATAAATTAATTTTGGATAAAGATTCAAAATTAATACTATATATTATGAGAGAAATATTTGAATAGGATTCAAATAATGACTATGAATTGGATTGATATTAAAACTAAAGGTTATACAATTGAGATGCTTTTGAATATGATTCAAATATAATTTTTTTAATTAAATATGTGATATTTAATTAAAAGATGAATAATTAATCGTTAATTAATTAATTTTTTAATAAGATTAATAATTATTAATCAAATTACTTAATTAACTAAATAAGTTAATTGTTAATTCATTTAATTTAATTATTATATATTAATTAAATTAATTAAAAAAAGAAAAAACCAAAAATTAACTCCCCTCAAATTGCAAGGGAGTGGTGAGGTGGTGATCTAGGGAGTTACCCCACGTCACTTTTCCCTAAGTTGCAGAATAAGTTCTACAGTTGGTTTCTTCTTGTTGGGTTTCTGAAAAAGAAGAAACAAAGAAGAAATTCTATATCAAAAAATTCTCTCCATATCTAAATTCTCTTTTGGTTCCCACACAAGCAGATCTTCGTTGGAGACATAGCAAGGAAGGCTTTGGTAGTGTTCGTCTGGTTTATAGGAAGACGAGTTTTCAAAGGTAAAACTCATTCTTTCCCCTATTTTTGTTTTCATTGTGTTGTCAATTTTGTCCTTAAATTCACGAACACGATCCTCGTTTTCGCCCTAGGATTAACATCCTTTCATAGTGGACAGTGCATCATTAGTGCATGTATCTTCGGACAGGAGTTGGTTCATGTCTCTCACTACAGGCAGTCATGGCATGGTGAGGATAGGGAATGAGAGACTCTCCAAGGTCAGAAAAATTGGATAGGTGCATTTAAAGATTGGCAGTGAG